TGTACAACGAAAGAGTGTGTGATATATAATCTCAAGAATAGGAGGATTTTTTTGGCTATTTCTCTGATGTTTAACATAGCCGTGTGGAAATATGTAATGATTTCAGGATATATTTTTGGATTAGTGAATTCAACTGATGTTTTCTATTTATAAGTTGTCTGTTTATATCCTGTAGAAAAGGACATCTATTTATCCATGGTGATCTTGCATTTTGTTAATTCAGTGCTACAACCAATGACAAAAATTTCATTTGTGTGAGATGTGCGTGGAACAAAATTTTTTATCCAAACAGTTTTAACAACTTTAAATGCATAATCTATACATTTTTCATTTACAAATTTCATATATGCTATATTTACTACATTTTAAAAAAAACAAATATGCTGATAATTCTCTTTTGAATGTATGCTATCTACAATATAGACATCACATTCACAAATCACGATTTTGTTCACCTGATAAACATAGTCTATGTTTATGATACAAAGTAAACAAAGATATATATACAATATATACAATATAAAAAACATGAAGATTTGTATTTTATAGTTATTATTTAGATGAGCTTAAGATTTAGTTTTTTTCTCAGGTTCTTCTCTCTTGTGAAGCTCATCAGTAGGAGTACTTGCTGTTTGTTTAGTACGTGTATTTTGCTCTTCATTAGTTTTATTTGATGGAGTTCTAAGGGCTTCTGCTAGGAACCGTTCCATGTTCGGCTGATCATTATTTATATTTTGTTTGTCTTTTTTATTTTTTGCCCATTTAGCTTTTTTGACAAGTCGTTTTGCTTTTTTCTCACTTTGCTTGGATTGATCATCAGGATTGTTCATGACAGGTATGTCTACATCATTACTCGCCTGCTTATTGAAGGTGAAGCTAGGATTTTTATTTCCTGCATCATCTGCTTGGGTTGTTTTTGGCTTTTCCTTTTGGCAGCTTTCCGGATGGGTGGAAATGTCTGAATCTGACTCAGATTCTGATTGGCTATCTTCACTAGAAGAATCAGAGTCTGCATTGCAGTATTTTGCCGTATGACCAAATTTCCCACAAGTCTGACATACCCAATCATCTGGGCAAGTAGTGCAATAGCTTGCTTTATGACCGCTGCCACCACATGTTCGACAAACCCAGTCATTTGGGCACTCAAAAGATTTATGTCCCTCTTGTAGACATTTATTACATTTAATTGTTGTACGGGTATCAACCTGACCTCGATGGAGAACTGCTGCTTTGTATTTACCAATAAATAAAGCTTTTGGCAAAGGATTAAGTATTGGGTCACATATCGCAATGCGATCGCCAGTCTGACAATTTGTCACACGTCCATCAACTCTTAGCCTTTCACGAAATAATGTATGTACAACACAATTACCAACCTCAAGGGCTCTTTGAATTTGGCCGTCGTCCGCTGAGCAAGGTATATTTTTATTCTTACACGAACATTGTTAGGATTTTCATTTTCAGCAGTTTTGGGATTCTAGCATATGTTTGTATTAGCTTTTTAACGAATAACAATACCATTTGTAAGTGTTTTATCTCGATCGTCATGATTGTCAAAATATAATCTCCACAATCCTCTAAACCTTTGTAAACCTTTCAAGTGGCTTGGGTCTACAAGATGACCAACAGCTCTGTATAGCTCGATATGAGTGAGGTACTGGTCTTGTTAGGGCTTACTAGTCCCAAATAAGTCTTGTCTTCACTTACTGACTGATCATTTGACGATTGGTCACCAGGAGAAACTGCTTTAGCATAAGACTTGGACGAACTTTTTGGATCTGCATTTGCATCCGCCATATTGAAAATTGAGACAACTTCTAAACTTTGAATCTCTCAATTTTTAACATCAATGTACGTTAAATCTCCACTAAAACTTTATCTGGGAAAGGAAAATTGTCTACTCAGTTCACAATACGCTTAAAAGCTTTTTAGAATCACTTCATTAAATATCAAAATCTGATTTTTATCGAGGAGCTCTGCCTACCGTAGTTATGGCATGGGCGCGTTCGAAAAATTTCCTTTTTCAGTATAGCAAAATCATAACAAATTTCGTTAAGAGGATACTCCACAAACGGTTCATGTACACTTGAAGATCACGGGAAATGCCACAAGCAAACTACAAGATGAAATGATTAAACCCACCGCAGCGCAGTGCTTTTGAAATATCAATACCGGGTGTCGTTCTTTTACACGATTACACTTTTGTTTTGTTTTCCAACCTTAAATAGTGAATGATTTGTTTAACAATTACTTTTCGCCTGATATATATTTGCACCTTTTATCTCGTTGGAATGGACAAATTTTGCCGAAAAACTTTGTCAGTCATGAGTGCACTCTAACGTACAATTTAAAGTCTCGGATCCAGAGTCACTGCTCATGTTTCGAGCATACCAGACTCACCCACGTTCATTGGAGTGAATAATCGCCACCGTGAATGAAAACGTTTATACTTAAATGTTTTCCACGATCTTTAAATGTCCCACGATCTTTAAAAAAATGCACAAAAACAACTTTAAATACGGTTGCCATTTTTTTATTATGTAAAAAGCATAGATAGTAAAATTCTAAAGATTTGAGTGCACCTATAATTGTTTTATTTCAACAGGGATACGAATATTTTAAATTTTTTGACATGAAGATGTTCATTGATAACGATGTTGTTTTTTTCGTATTTTCCCCCCTTTTTTCCATTGATACCAATAACGTAGACACAATTGTTTGCCCTACTCAGAAAAAAACAGTAATTGAACTATAACAAACAGAAAGTGAAATGTAATGAAGATACATCTTTCTTAAATACCTGCTCGTTGTATTCCCCCATCGTTTAGAAAGGAAAAAAAAATATGTCTAAGTTTAAACATTAAATATTGTCAACACCCTCCTCAGTTGATCACTCCTTTATGAACCCCAAGTATTGCTGAAATTTATTTTTTATTGTTCCAACAAACCCACTGCACTGACAATTGTAGAAATTCATGTGTGTCTCATGTCAACCTAATTAAATGCTGTCTGTCTCTTCTATCAATCAGCGTATATTCACAGCACGTCCAGCCTGGATAACACTATGTAGAATAATTATTGGGTAGTAAAAAACGCCGTTGTTCATGATCAACTATAGAAAAACATCATAGAAGTTGGCCTTGTTTTTTTAAAGGACGGTTTATATTTATACTTTGAGATGATCCAAGATTTAAATGCTACCTGTAAGTGTTAACGTAATCCTAATCGTAGGTATATCTTATCTTGATGATATTTTACGTTGAATAAGAAAACATTCTCTACTAACGGAATTGTTTGGATGGTCATGTTACTTTGGCACCACCTTACGGTGTTTATATATTCTAACGCATTCACTATGACCGTGTCTGTGGTGATGTTTCGGATTTCAATGAACGTAATATATGTATTTCTGGTAAACAATTAAGTCAAGGATTTCGTTACCACAAATTACCTGAAACCTTGACTTTCATAGATACAACATTTTGTATGGAATTTTGGCTGTACCTGTCGAAATTATTACCAACGGAAGCACATCTTAATTTTTACGGTGATGTTGTTAACCAGGCACGTAAATTTAGATACAATCCGGATAAATTTATCGATCCTTTAAACATATTCAATCTAAAAGGTTACCAATTCAACACTGTAATAAGATCTATGAATATTGATTTATCAGTATAGATATTGATTTTTATTATCAGTAGATTAAAACCAACATAAATATTATCGATATACCCATATGTTCATACAATCTGGATACCTATATTTGGCCATTGCACAAGATCTTGTTTTTCTGATTGTTCATGACGTCGTTTCACTAAATCCATTGGAGGATGGATGTGTACTGATGAACATTTTAGGCTAAGACACATAATTTGTATTGTGTGTTAATGGCTTTAAACAAGCCTTCAGTAAATGTGAGCACTCTCAATTCTGTATTTTGTGTCTTTTGTGCTTTCGTGGAAGTGTGTTAGCTTTGTATCTATCTGATGAATACATTCCTTTTCAACTGATTCTGATAAGTTTGTTTTTGTGTTTTATTGTTACACCATTGTACCAGGAAAGGAGCATGAGGAAAGGGCAATAACTGAAATCAAATATGTTTTCTTTTAATTTCTTACTAATATTGAAATGTACACATGATATAGCTAACAATATCTTTTTCTATATATTACTATTTCATTGGTAAAATATTGGACGACACTCTTCCAAGATCTTACTGATATAAAACTTTTGATATAAACTTAAAAAATCTAACTAGAGATATAGGAGTAAGAGTGCTAACAGTGCAATGTTCAATGAGTTTACATTCTAAGGGAAATAACTTTTGCTATAGAAACAATTCACCAGTGCTGATAGTTTAATTGTCCAAGACATGACTAATATAAACCTTCGATATGATTCCAAAACAATCCTACATCGAATGTAGGCATGAGAGCGCTTACATATATATATACTTCATTGTTTCAAGGGGCATAATTCTTTTAAAAATAGTTAATCAGCATTGTATTTCAAAATTGTTCAAGGTTTTGCTGATTTAAGCCTTTGGTGTAAATTTCATAAATATTTGGCAAGTATTTTACTCGTGGGAGCGCTTACAATGCAATTTTCAATATAATATATATTTCGAAGGGGCATAATTCTTTTAAACAATGTTGATCGACTTGCTTTGGTTTTAAAACTTGTTCAAGAACTTGCTGATATAAACCTTTGATAGAAATAAATAAATATTTGGCAAGATTTGAACAAGTGAGAGTGTCTATTAGGACGGAATAACGCCCGGTATATCTATGTATAAACTCTTTACGACGAACGTAAGACGAGGATTATTCATTTCTAAATAAAATAGTGCAAACAAACCTGCATCGTGAACAGCCCCGGTCATCTCGGACAAACACTCGCAGTAAACTGCAAATATTATTAGGAAACTTTTATTTCAATAAGTAACACAATACATGTAAGTTTAATTGACGATTTAAAATCATCAGAAATTATACATATAGCTTACAGGTTTTTAGTAAGGTAGCAAGATAAGATAAGCATAAGTTGTGGCACATAGAAAGATATAGTCGTATTATTTATAAAAGCTTTTTCACTCAATAAAATTGTCTTTTAATACGATATAAAAATTTTAAAAAAAGTACGAGTCTTATAATCTAGTGCACCGACGGGTTTTAAATGTTCAATTATGAAGGGATCTCATCAACAACCTCGTAATGCTGTATTTCTGGTTGTGCATACATTCTAGGTTCAGTCGTAAACTGTGAAGTCAGCTCATATTGATTTCCTTCTTGTGTTGCTCTCCAATGACGACGGAGTATGCCAATCCTAAGATAAGAAACAAAATTAGTTTTGATGATTTATTGGATGATTAGAACAATTAGGCAATAAGCAGATGCTGTGCACATTGATGCCAACCTGGAAAGAAGAAGGATATATTCTCCAAAATTAATTTACTCCCAGTGTCAACATTCGATAATATTCTAAATAAAATATATTTTCGACTTTCTAACATTTGAAACATTCATCTAAACAAGATGTTCTTCCGCACACTTCATTATTGTTGGACGAAGTTCTGATACAAATTTCGCAAGTTTTGAACACATTTTGCATTGACGGACACCATAAACTGACATGAGTGCATTTGTATTTAAGATACAAAACATAGCTGTACACATAAACGTCGAATACACATTAGATTTGGTAAAAAATGTCTCTTTTCGTGAAAGCGATAATAGCTCAAAATTGACCAAAATCTTCCATATTTGCAGTTTTGAGACAAATATAGAAATTTATTACATATTCAAAAAAACACACGCCATAATGTTATTAGAACATCAAAGTGTATTCTGTGAATTTGAATAAAGATTGAAAGACTTTCTGAAAATGGGCCTTGTGTGAAATAGATCCAGTGGTAATTAACCCTATCTTGTTAACATGCACTTGAACTTCCAGATAGAATAGTACAACTACCAACTTTAACACGTTTAAAGATTGTTCATTCCATTTTTCATGGTAATGAAACATGAGCCAACGGCTAATAGGGTGTTGAAGACCGAATATTTAATCAACTAGTTGTTCGTGTTTCATGCTCCCATCGAACAGGTCGAACAAAAACTATATATCTAGACGACAATTTTAAAACAGATCATGTAAGATAACATAATGTTAATCAGCCACCTTTAGGAACGCTGGACTATCCTATATAGAGATGTACAGGTTGTTGTCATATATTTGTTTTTTTTAATCAAGTTATTATCTATTTTAAAGATGCTAGATTATTTTAATATTACTGACGCCACTCTAAAATTTAAGTGTTCATTTTTACCGTATGGCTTTTATTGGAAGTTCGATAACTGTCTATTCTAGTTGTTCAAATGTCTAGCTGGCTTTTTTTATTACATGCCTCGTCCTTGTTCTTTTGTATGGTTTCATCGGTTTAATTCTGATAGTTATGTCATATTCTAAATTACTAATTTCGGAAGATATATCATTAAGTTACAAAATTAGTGCTGCTCTTTTATGTTATGTGATTGCTACATGCAGCGACCAACACATAGAAGAAAATAACGCAGGTAAATCAAGTTAAACGTAAAATATCATAACAACAAAATGTGAGAAATGGGCAAATAAAGTTCACTGATATAATCTTCATCGCAAACCGCTATTGATCTTCCGGATACTGTTTGTTTAATTGAATTCATATTTTCCTATCATAATGATGTATAATGAATTCCGTTGTTAAGTGAATCAGGAATATCGACAAAGGGGTCTATCAAACAATGTCAAAACCATTGGAAAAGGCAAAAATAAGAAAATGGATAATACTTACAGTGATACTTGGAGACACACCAAAACAAATACTACAAGAATAACTAGAACCGCTATACCTACGATAAAACAAAAGCATATAAAGCTATACATTGTGCTGCCTTTTTTTAATCACATCTCGTCAACCTCGTGTTTAGCTAAAACATATAGTTTGAGTTCAATAATGAGCAACGGTTCAAATTTCAACTTGTTATAATGATTATTCTTTGCCCTTATCTTGACAGTTTTCCCTGAAGCCGTAAAGGATCTTCGATATAATTAATGTAATACCAACAACCATAGGTGGACATTTAACATTTTTGTTATAAAGCAGTGGTTCGCGTGATATAATTAAGCGCCCTAATTGTTACTAGGTAAATTTTAAATACATTAGAAGATTGATGATTGGTATAAAAATAGATGTTTGTATTTTACAAAGGACTCAATAGTCAAACTGTATTTATTTATATAAGTAGCAGTAAGAGACGCTTAACGGCGAACAATAGTGGTATTTTAGAAGAGAACTGTTATTATAAACAAGACTTAACAATACCGTGTGTAGCACAGAAAGTTGTAATGTGCTTTTTAAGCAATCTCTAAGTACACACATAATCTCTGACAATATAAATCACGCCTTCTTACATTCTAATAGGTACTACTGTTCTTAAGAGTAGGGAAAACAATGCAAATGCAATCAATCTTTGGTATTGGCCATCTCTAAAATAAACTATTGTACATATTTAAACATAGATGCACACAATTACAGTAAAAAACGATTATAAAACAGTTTCTGCGTTAGTATCCCTTTTTAAGCATATACCCGAAAGATCAAAGCAGCTCGTGTGAACAAAAACACGCTAAAAACATAAAAACCGGATGCAACCATTAGGGCTCAAAGAATGACCAATCTAAAAACAAGAAAATGCGGTTTGATTGCCAATGAGACAACTATCCACCAAAGTTCAAATAAAGTGGATTTAAGCAATTATAGTCAACAGCACGGTTTTCAACAATGAGAAAAACCCATACCGTATGGTCAGCTTTAAAAGACCCCGACATGAAAAATATGAAACATTTCAATTGAGAAAACTAACGGCCTAATTAATAACAAATCAATTTACGAAAAACAAATAATGCTAGACATGAATCAACGACAACCACTGAACAACAGGCTCCTTACTTGGGACAGGCACATACAGAATGTGGCGGGATTAAACATATTTGTGAGCGCTCAACCCTCCCCTAAGCTGGGACAGTGGTGTAATAGTACAACATTAGAACAAACTATAAAAATCAGTTGAAAAAGGCCTAACTCATCAGATGGATACAATTAGACATACATCTAACAAAAACACAGAGTGGACGTTGCGGGATACTTATAAACGACACCAAGCACAGATCTGATAGTACTCGCAGTTACTGACAGCTAGTTCAAAGTCAATACCAACTAAAAAAAAACATCATGTATGTAAAACTAAAATATCAATCAGTACATTTCCAACATCCAAGTAATCCCGTTTTTATGTAAACTCTCAATTAAGGACAATGTTAAATATGTTTGTATAATTTGTGCTTATATTTATGTCACAGTATTTATTGAAAACAAAAACATGAACAGATCAAAGGAGGAGAATCAGGACACTTAACATTACCAAAGAGAACCATATCGTCTAAGTACAAACTAGTGTGAGTACGCAACTAGGCAATGTTATCTGGAGGACGAATGCTGTTTTTTAAAAATTGAAAGCCAATTAAAGAAATAATCTTCTATTCATGATACAATTTATAGAAACAAAATTCTCTAAAGATTTTTTAATTGTAATTAAGAAGACGTGCAGAATTAAGAATTGTTATGTGTCGTATTCTGTTTTTTTTTGGGAATGACGGTTCAAAATGCTACGAGAGCCCCAATACAAAAAATATTTCCAGGAAAAATTTATTATATCCCTTTTGAAGTATATATACTTATAGTCATTTATCAATTTTATGGATGAACCATCTATAGAAGTTACCGAATTTGTTTATACTGCATAAATCATTGAAGTGAATTTGTGATAAGTGAGAAACATAAAAAAAAAAAAATATATAATAGAATTTCGATGTGCAATACTATTAAAACGACACGCTTTTTTGCCAATGCAGTGCAGCGTCAAAATATAACTTGAAGTATCGACAGGATATAAACCATGAATAGGCCATGACTGTTCATGTGATGTAGTTTGCATATAAAAATACATAACATTCATAACTTGCTATCAAAAAATAACCGATAATTTGTTAGAAGGTGGATACTAGAAATAAATATTGATGAAGGATGGATGAATTACTGTATAACTACCAAACAAACGAGAATACGCTCCTGCCATATGAATATGAACACTATTTTGAACTACACCGACCTGCTGAGACGAATTTGAAACGTGCTATTTCACAAGTAAACATTACGCAGGGAGACATTTAACCCTAACCGCACACATTATTCTGACTCAGGGCCGAGAAATTTTTGTTCTTCCTTCTAAATGTTGCTTTTTTAGCAAAGAGGTAGAAAACCTTTGATTTTATCTTTTCAGGGATCGAACCAACAACCACTTACACTAAAGGAGAGCACGCTACCACAACACCTAGGCGGTTATGAAATTTTAGGTACATATATACATGTGTATGCAAAACATTTCAAACAAATAAATGTGTCCATAAAACACCGTTCCCTCTAATTGAATGTTCATTGAACCTTAATTTGGTATATGATTTTTTTAAACTTGGAACGGAACGCATGCACAGACGAGACAATATAATAACCCCCTCCTGCTAGCATAATTAAAAAGATTCTTCTTACCAAAACTGCTATGCGATATTCCATACATCTCATAAAAACAATTCGTGAGCAATGACGTTCAATTACACATAAAAACTGTTCTTTCTAGCCATGCAGTATTCTCTTTAAGTAATAGTAAAAGCTCAATGATAAGTTAATATTAATATCAAAAGACCTTCGAACAAAAAGTGTGTTGAGATCCCCGAGCCCGAAGGGCGAAGTGATTTGAACAGCCCTTTTGTGAGGATGTCTTTTATGTCAATATTAACTTAATCATTAAACTTTTACTGACTTACAAAACACACAAAAAAGTACAAAAAAAAATATCTTGCAGAAGCTTAGTTTCCCTGAATTGGACGAGTCTAAATATATTCCACTCAAACGATAGTTAAACAGTACTCAGACTGATATAGACACATGACTAATTGCATTGAAAACGGACCGATTCAGTAGCATTACATCCTTTAATTATTTTTTATCATTATTTTTTAGCAATCAAAATAATACCATAGGATAGTTTTATAAAATTAAGGGGTAAATTTGAATTTTTGAATTCCAACTTTTCAGTATAACGATTTTCTATTTTATAAATGAAGAAATCAAAACCCTATACAGACCTCATTTACAACTGACCAATGAATGTTCTGCACAAATACTTCTTTTTACAAAAATGTGATGTCTTTAATCTGTCAGTAATCATGAAATACATTCGTAAAGAGCAGACTAGATGAAAACAGTAAGTAAACTCTTCAAACAATTAGCTATTTAAACAGTATGTTTCACAACTTCTAATCGAACAGACCTAGATGCAGAAGGTCCTTCACAATATTCAGGTAAATGTTCATTTTGGTTTTGATTCTGTAATATTCCTACACTACGTTACATCAATGGTGGATCCAGAAGGGGGGGGGGGTCCGGGGGTTGAAACCCCCTTTTTGGAAGATCAATGCTTTTAAATGGGGACATATGGTTGGAATCCCCTTTTAAAAATGGCTGGATCCTCTCCTGGTTACATGCAAATGCAAAACAATTAGTCTGTTCAGTCCAATAAATTAATAATCGTGTTTTGTTTTTGATTTTTTTTTTAAATAAAAACTCTGCATGTCAACTCCAATGAATAAAATCGTATTAAATAGCCTAAATGTAACATATTTAGCATTAAGTTATGTAGGTTTGAGTGGCTCGATCAAAACGTCTATAGATGAGATATTTTCACAAGGTTTGTCATCATTCTTAAATTGATATACAATGTATTATATGAAAATAAACACTTTTATTTTAGTCGTCTGTTATTCCCTTTTCACGTCTTAATGTAGCATAAACAAACACCTTGAAAAAAACTTTTACCTTTCTTATTTTTATAATCGCCTAACAAAATCATATATCATAAATCGTATTAAAACAGTAGATAAGAACCATAGTAAAAAAATATTTAATTTTTCTTATAAGTGTTCAGTTATGTAGTACATGTCAATTGCAAAACCATAAAAAAATGCACTATTATTGAGTGATTTAAATGGAAATTTTACATTATAGCATTTTACAAGATCTTATCTTCGTGTACTATGTACATGACATAATTTATGGAGTTGATTGATTGTTGTTTGCTTTACGTCCAGTGGTAAATATTTCATGCATGTTCATGACGAGAACACACAAATTTTAAATACAATAGGTAGGTCTTGCAATAAGAGGTCGACAGTGAGGTAGGACGCAAAACTTTGAATACCACTGGAATTTGAGGGTATACTGAATAAGGACAGAAATTTAGCTTTACAACAGCTGACCACATCCGGCCACATCCACACCCCTTAAATAACTAGTGCAAGAGTTCCTTATTTGCAGAGAGCGTTGATGCATGTAATCTAATCTGAAGTCGGCCATCAATATTTACGTGTAGTTTCCAATATCATTTAACGCATCCAATTTATGTTAGATACTTTAAGCTCGCTTTAGTAACTGTGAAAATTCTGTGAAACTGTATTTGTTGTACACTATTTTTTGGTATGATATTCTGTATACTGCCGCTATCATTGTTTGTTTCGTGGGAGTGTTTTTGCCTCGAGAGCGGGAGCTCGTTGGTTCGAATCCAGACCCGGTCAAACAAAGAAGTTAAAATTGGTATTTGCTGTTTCCACGCTAAAGTAGCGGCATTTAAGAGTAAGAGCAACAGACTTGTCGGCTCGGAGTCAGAAATGTTTCCGGGTAGGGTGTCTTTCTTCCTGCGAACTGATATCTTGTGAACTTGCGCGTTAAAAAAACGGC